CGCGCGAAGGAGAAGGAGTTGAACGAGAAACTGCTCCAGTTCATGGTCTCTGTCTCTGTTCCGGGCTTTGCGCAGCTGGACATTCATTGCCTGCACCATACGAGTCCTAAGCCGGGTGCTATCCCGCTCCTCTTCCTACATGGCTGTAATGTACCATTTCCGCGGTTGGCTTTGTAGATGAAGGTATTGACTGGTATACAATATCCAGGGCCAGGAAGCTTTCTTGAAGCCGTCAAGCTGATACCTCTCCTGACGAAAGGCGATGAGAATCAGCCAGCTTTTCACCTGGTGGTGCCTTCGCTGCCAAACTTTGGCTTCTCTCAGGGTGTGAAACAGGTCTGTCCAAGTTGTGCCGTCTGTACGGCTCTAGCTGACTTGCGTTGGTCTATGTGTAGAGAGGCTTCGGTCTGGCGCAATATGCCCAAGCGATGCACACTCTCATGCTGAATCTAGGCTACGAGGAATATGGTACGCTTCCATGACGATCCATTCCATTCCGTATCAATATCACGAACACACTATTGACAAGTCGACAGTCATCCAAGGAGGAGACTGGGGTAGCATCATCGCCCGCGTCATGGCATCGCTCTACCCCCAGCACGTCAAAGCCGTCCATCTCAACTTCGCCCCCGTGGCTCCTCCCTACCCATGGCGCCACCCATGGATCTTTCTGCAATCAGTCCTCACTCTCCCCTTCTCATCCAAAAGCAGGGCTCTCATCTCGACTACCCTCAACTACCTGAACCAGGGAAATGCTTACATGCGCCAGCAGGAAACTCGTCCCCAGACGCTGGGCTACGGGTTACATGATAGTCCCGTCGCCCTACTGGCGTGGATCTACGACAAGTTACACGCGTGGGCGGACGACTATCCCTGGACCGACGATGAGATCCTCACTTGGGTGAGCATCTACCAGTTCTCGGTCGCTGGTCCGGCGGCGTCGGTTCGGATCTACTACGAAGCTGCGCAGACGCCTCCTGTTGATGCGCCAGCGTCAACGTTGAAGAGGGTGTCCACCGTTGATGCAATCTCCGGGTCCATCCCCGGGAGTGTCAAGTTGGCCGTGGCTCATTTCAAACGAGAGTTGATCAAGTTACCCTTTTTGTGGTGTCGGAGCATGGGCTCTGTGGTGCGGGAAAGTGAGTTTGAATGTGGTGGTCATTTTGCCGCGTGGGAGGTACCGGAGCTGCTCACTGCTGATGTGAGAAGCTTTCTGGGAAGGGGTGGTCAGGCGTATGCTGCCGTAACCGGGAAGAATGGCTACTAGGAGTGGAAACCTATAATCCAGGTTCATGGAGGAAGAGTCATCAAGGTCGTAAAGCAGCCTTCTGCCCTTGCTCATTCCGGTTCGTGTCAGGCAGAAGCTTCAGGGCTAGAGGTACATGGACCGACATCGCTGTGCTCTTCCTTCCTCCATCATTTGACGGTATGTAGGATTTAAGTCAGACCAGCGACTGCTTCCGACCAGTATGTTTCGATCAGGATATGATTATGAGATAACATTAAACGAGAACGAAAGAATGCGTGCCAAATACAGAATGTCTAATCTTGTCTTCCCTTGAGTAGCCGCTTCGTCACCTTGTCTTTCTCTATGATGTATACTTGAGCACCCCAGCCGGAGAGAGCATCTCTGTCAACTGCACTGAGAAGGGCCTGAGAAATGGTCTCGAACAAATCTTCAGGGGACTGAATAAGGTAAAATCGAACGTTAGCGGAACCTTCCTCGCAATATAAACTGAGCCCAAGAACGTACCAGATCTGGCTCCCACAGACCCTCACAGGTACCGAAAAGCTGGTCGCTTGCCGTACCACTGACAATGAAATCCTTGGCGAAATCGATGCATCCGATACTGTCGAACCCGCAGATAAAAGGCTTACCCGTCGTGCTGTTCACGCCAGCAATGACAGGGCTCACGAAGAAAGGTCCGAAGCGTCTCTCATACAGTGATGAACTGACCAGGTTGGCCAGAGTCTGGGGCGCAATGTTCCGTTCTTCGCGGAGTCGGTACATGTTCACCTTGTAGCGGAAGAGATCTGAGACGGTGTTGACGTCCGTGGCCAGGCCAGTCAAACCGAGGTAAGTCGAGGGACCGTAGTTGAAGATCTTGGGGAAATTGTTGGAGACGGTCAAGGCCTGCATGCCCAGTCGGAGGTCGCAGGCAATTGCAACGCAGTCCTTGCCCACCATGGCGACACAAGCTCCGCCATCTAAAGAAGACACTGTCAGTCTCTTGTATGTGAGATCATGGTGAAGATCAGGAAGAGTGCGTACTGATATCGAAGGGAGAGCTCTGTAGGTTGGGTTTCAATTAGCTCAAGCTGCTCAGGTTACGAAGGGGAAGCTCAACTTACCATGCTGAATTAGGTATGTCGAGAAATTGCAAGCAGGATGAGATCTGAGAGAGTCAAATTAAAGGAAACGAAGAAGTGAGGGAAGGAGGGGAATGAATTCAAGGTGAGGATGAAGGTGATGATGGAGAAAGGTGATAAATGACGGGGAAGCTCTGCTGCTGGTCCAACGCGTGAGAGCCGCCCAGAGCTTCGTTGCGGATGACGCTGCGCCCGCTGCCTACGGGAACCGTCCAAAGTAGATGAATATTGGACACTCCTCGTTGATGTCCCAATCCCTCCTCTTTCTTTGAACTTCTATTTTATTCTTTTACAAATCTGTTTCTATTCAGATAAAGAACTCCTGGTTTTGTCAACCTCTCTTTTCATCTCATCCTCAAGTCCCCAGCTGCCATCTTCCTTCATAGTTGCCCCGCAATAATAATATCATACAAGCAAGCAATCGCCTTCAAACCATGAGCTCACATGTCGTCGTTCTAGACTCGACTGCTCGAAGAGCCACAATCAAAACAACACCCGGGAAACATCTGACGGATATCCTGCAAGAAGCATGCGCTAAGCTCGGCTTAGATGCGAGCCAGTACGGCCTCAAGTAAGTGAACTGAGCTCTCGATGAAGCAATGAAACGGACTCTAACACTTGGGAAGGTACAAGAGCAAACAGCTCGATCTTTCTTTGGTCTTCCGCCTCTCCGGCCTCGCTTCCGGTGCGAAACTTGAATTAGTACAGCTCTCCCGATCGCCTTCCATTGTCACGGTCGCTTTACAACTGCCCGAGGCAGAAGCTCGAGGCGTCCCCAACGGACGGCTTCTAGACAAGTTCCCCAGCACGACAACTTTATGGCTAGTGCTGCGCAAGTTTGAGGCGGGTGTTGCAGGTGGCGGACCGACTCGAAACTTCACTGCGAGAGGCGTCCCAGTCGCCAGTGCCGGCAACGAGGGATCCGGACGCTTATTTTACGAGACGCCAGTCGTTCAGGTCATGGGGCGAGAACTGTCGACATTCGATGATCTTCAGAAGTCACTAGCGCAGCTTGGATTCAATAGTGGGAATGTCCTGGTCAGATTAAGTTTCCGGCGGACAGAGGAACCTCTGGAGGTGGCTATGGTTAAGATTCAAGATTACTTTAAAGCGTTTGAGGATGCTGCCCCGAAATCACAAGAGGCGCCCGCTGCGCCAGCACAACCTAAGCCTGTCACCGATTCAAGCCAACCTCTACAACAAGTGCCGAGTGCTGAAAATGCTGAACCCCTGGGTGCAGCTGCAGCACCTGCGCCATCAGCACAAGTACCGCGACCTGTTTCTCATCGCTCCATCGCCTCTACCGAGCCATCTGCTGTGATCCAGCCCTCATCGCGACCAATCACAGTCTTCTCAGCACCATCCAACACCACCCCTCAGGCCGCCCAAATGACGTATAATGAAGACGACTACATTCCATCTGTGGACCAAGCACAAGCTCACCAGCGCCGTCTCAACGCCGCCTCCCGGCCCGTCCGTCTTCCCACGGATGCAGAAATCGCCGCCAAAGCAGCAGAGGAGGAAGAGAAGCGTGCAGCGATTAGAGAAGTCGATGTCAAAGTCCGTCTTCCGGACCAGAGCCAAGTTGTCTCAAAGTTCGGGCAACAAGATACCGGCGCAACGCTCTACGGCTTCGTAAGAAGTTGTCTGTCAGAGCAATTTGCCAGCGAGAAATTCATACTCACGTCCTTCCCTGCTGGTCCCCCTGGTCTAGGCGCGAAGAGGATTCAGAGTATCATTCCAGATACAGACCAGACGTTCCTGATCAAGGATCTTGGCATGATCGGCCGAGTCCTCGTCACCTTCTCTTGGGACGCAAGTGCATCTCCCGCCGCTCGATCAAGCAGAGCAAATCTCCTGAAGCCTGAGCTCCGGAACCAAGCTCAGGAGATCAAGGTCGAGCAGCCGTCGGAGTTGATGGATACTTCACAGGATACTGTACCGCCGAAGGTAAGCGGACTCGGCGACCGCGATGGAGAAAAATCTGGACGAAAACCTGGCGGGATACCCAAGTGGTTGAAACTGCCCGGAAAGAAATGAGAATCAGAGATAGCATTTCGTTATTAGCGTGTGATCACATTGTGTACGTTTAGAATGACCAATGGTTACGATTTATCTACGGACATGCTCCAAGTATACTCGACTCTCGCCGGTTTTGTGAGTCGCCGTCGACTTGATGCCATGGGCGTCTATAGCATAGATGATGACGGTAGAAAATAAGGACATTACAGAATCTTCGCAATGCATTCGCTGCGAGCGATAACACCGAGGAAGCAAATCAGCGTGGAGTCTTGGCAAAGAACTGAACCCAGGTGATAAGTGGATCGATTCTCTTGAGCAAGTGTTTCGATAGGGCAGAAGTAGTGTTAAATTCAAAGTCACCGAGCCCATAAGGCCAGCCCGAAAACTCCCAGTTGCATTAGATTCAAGAGATCCATTTTGGTATTTAGTCCATGCTTATTGCATCATGATTCAGTCCCTTCCATTGGACCTTTTCGAAGAATTGAATGTTACGGACAACAATTCCTGGTTCCATGCGCCAACTCAGCAACCGAAACGATTTCACTTAAATTTCGTTATCTCGTTCTCTGGCGATAATAAACACATTTTCAGAGGAAGGAAAAACGAATTTAGTGACCAGCCACACGTCTGGACTCGGCGATGACTCTCTGCATGTCCTCAACCTTTCTCTTGCCACGGGAGAAGGTACCGAGCTATAACAGAGGATTCGTTAGCATTGTTCATAAATGATTGCAAAAGTTCACATCAGGTGTTCTCCCAGCTCGCTCCACGAGTCGGCGGTCGGCAATCTCCGTAATTGAAGGGACGGATTCGTGGCGGGGGTGATGTTCAACCGATTGTTGCCGTATGCTTCATCAAATTGTACTCCGAAGCGCAGACACCGCAATCATGCAATTTCCCAATGAAGCGAGCAGAGAAAGGAACACCCGTGAAGACCAATATCCAGAACTCGTGACGTACCCTCTTCTTGGCGAGCTTACGAGCTCTCTTGTCCTGAGTGTTTCTCAGGAGTTCGATGATACGACGCTCATAAGGGGCAAGACCGACAACCTCACGGGCGATGTCACGGACGAAGGCAGTGCGGCGGGAAGACTGGCCCTTGGTGCGGCTGATCCGGGTCTTGGGGGTGTTGAGAGGGGTGGTTTTCTATCATGGGAACCCAAGTCAGCTTCACTGAAATTGTTCCTCAATTCCATAACCAAAGTCGAATGCTTCCGATCGATTTTTGTAAAGTCGGGCCCAAGAAGTCCAGTTGGTGCGTCCTTTGTCGTTCCATTTCTCTTTTTTCAAGAAGGAACTCTGCCTTTTGACAATCCGACAATATGTCCCCTCCATAGTATGTTCCGTATCCTCAATACAAATCTCTCGAGATCGACTCGACAAATACCGACCGGAAACATTCTTTTTCTTAGGGAAACGGGAGAGGGATTTAACATACGTGGCCCTTGTTCAGACCGACCACGATTCCGGAACGTTCCTGCGCCATCTCGACGGTTGTGACTGGGGTTTGGCGACGACGGTGGTTGCTGGAAGGAAAGTTGTCGAGTCGACGGTCGTCGGTGCGGATAGAATCGCGATGGAGTTTGCAAAGTTTTGGTTGGCCGCCCGCGTTGGTGCGTAGGCGAGCGGTTAGGGCTTAGGGCTAGGGTGGCAGACCTACATCAGTAGATCGCCCTTGCCGCATGGGGCATTGCTGTACCAGGGTAAGAGCTTCTGCTTTACCCTTTCGGGAAGGTATGCTTCTTCATCTGCCCTTGAGTCTCATATTCAGCGTAAGATACGCATGATGTATTCGAGTTCTATCGAATCTTGAAGCACCGATAATCTTTAAAGTGAAAGGCTATTGCGGGAACATGTACGGTGAATTATCCTCGCTGAGACGCAACATCTACCTCAACTGTCTTTAGGATCCCCGAACCATAATTTGATCCATGTCCAGCACCTCGACTTTTAGGTGGATAACTGTCCGACGCTACTTCTGGAAGGTCAAGTCTACCCATCTGGGCCCCAGCAGTTGTGCCACTGGTGCCTGAGAAGATACGTCGTGTGTGTCCCTCGGGCTGTTGCTCAATATCATCCAGCTCCCAGTTGGTGCTCTGGCAGAGCTCGGTCATGCTAAGGCTCCCGCTCGATTGTTTCCTTTGACGAGTCCGGCTGACGGGCCAATTGATTATTTCTATCGCTTTCTTCGCCGAGTGGGACGAATGGCTGGTGCTTGCACTCAAGATCAGGGTACGTGCTCGCTTGAAGAAGTGCCTGAAGAAGGTTGGTAAAGCCGGCATACAACTGGCTATGATTCCGGACGTGACTTCGGCGGACCTTCATTGGAAAACAAAGACAACACTGTCAGCAATTCGATCATAAATCAAAGACATAATCACCCACGTCCGAGGAAATGGCCTTACGTCCATAAGAACTCGGGGAACCAGTCGTAGGTCTTGTCCTTGACGTTTCTGTTCCGTACACTGGCCACAAGGCGCATGATACTACACATGCAAGCGCTATGTTATCTTGATCAGCTCGAGAAGACGCTCGTAATCATCAAATAGCAAAGGATGAATCTCACAAGATGCCGGCAGCGAAGATCGCGGATGTGGCCCATTTCTTGGAGTTTCTCATCTGCAAGCGCCACACACTCACAATAGGCAGAACTAGTATCAGAAAGTCTGACGCCACATTGATTGAGGAAGTCACAATGATGGGGATATTGATATTGAGACAATGCCCTTTGAGGTCCTTATCCCAGATCTTCGCTCTAGGCGAGCATTCGAATATCTTCACGATCGTGTCTGCAAAGTAGAAACCCAAGTTGAGCCAGATAAGAGCTTGGATGCAAAAGAAGGTCTTGCTTCTGAAGGAGGGAGCAAATACACGTGAGTAAAGCAGAAGAATTGATAGCTTGGTGATGAAGATCAGAGGCCCATAGACAATCTGCGACGTATTTGCCAACTGAAGCTCATCAGTGAAGACACTATCCCGCGATTCAGGGCGCTCGCTTACCTTGCTATATTTCCGCAGATCAGATTCATCCACTTCCCATATATGGATTCCATTGCCGTATCTGTCAGCCTCGAACGCGATCACCACGTATGCTACCAGTCCCAGCTAGGATGTTTATGAGCAACTCATTATCAAAGTCATAACAGAGAGCCATACCCAGGCTAGAACGCAGCACACTATGGGACAAGTGTCTCAGCGCTCGACGACCTAATTGCGGATAATGATTCTCAAACTGGGATTTCACATACAGTCCTCCCATCCCGGTGCTTTGGTGATGAGTAATTTCGAATAAATCCGCATCCAGACAAGAACTGTACTTATAACCAGGCATGTCGTTTGAGTGACGATATTCCAGTAGCGCACTGAGTCTCGGTAGTCATATGTATGAACCTCGCTTGCAGAGGCTTGCATGCCCTCAGGAACAGTCATTATGCCTTGTTAGATAGGTTTCTTTGTAGGAGCAATCCCAGCGTCAAGAACGGTGCCGATGAACTATATGACGAGATCAACACCAAGGGCATCAGCGGTTCTACAGGGTAGATGTAACGTCTATCAGGGGCATTTCCCGCAAATCAAGATGCAAAAGAGAACAAGCACCAGGAGCCTTGTAATTCCCCTAACACGCAGCAGCAAATCATCCGTTGCAACGACACTGAACACCAGCAGCTGCTGATGTAGCATCCAGCATGCGCCCATGGCTGCCAAAAGACGATCAAAATCACCCATGCGGTGAGATTACCTGCATAGACGCTTATGGTCCATGAGCCTACGGCTTCGCCTTCACACATGACGAAGAATGCCTGGTACAACCGAATCAGAAACCCCGTGGCACAGAAATAGAAAGGATCGATATACAAGCCTTGATCTGCGCGTGGAGACTGGAGAATAATCCACTTATCCTAGTTCAAGACTCGTATTTGATGGAAGGACAAGGGTTCAATCAAGGAGCCGAGTCGGCTGTGCAACCCTCATTGCGGCAATAGAGGTGGTCCTCGTGTTACTGGCCAGTATTCTGAGTGCATTCGGAACTGGTGGAGGAGAGATGACTCGCGAGTCGCACTTCTGGGGCATGAGGATGTAAGATTGTAAGGGATTAGCCTCCTGGTGCAGATGAACATGTTGATGAGATTCGAGAATGCAGTCTCTTCGATTTGTCTGGATTATCACGCTCAGCGTGTAATTATAAAGTCCCGTGCATACTAGCACAACTGATGTTGCTGCTCGATGACCGGGTATTGAGTGTAGGACAGTAGGAATCTATGTCTGTAGCACGGCGGTCACGGTTTGATTGTCAAATGCACACGCCAGCAGTCATAAAGAGACATGGAAGTGAAGAGGTAATGTATCACTACTCACAGTTGAAGGCTACTACACTTGTTTATACTTCATCATCCATGGCAGGGTTAGCCTATTGAATTCTCTGAAGCCAGGTATTTTCATCTGTCTAGAATCGGTATATACATATATTCAAATTCAGTTCGAGTTCTCGTTTATAGATCACTCTCACCCATTCATCACAGCTTCACAGAGAGCGCTCCATCCAGGCCTTCCTCCCAGCTTTCCATTAGCTCACCACAGAGCAGTTCCAGTGCTGGCATGTCAAGCGTCTTCTCGAGCTCACTCCGAAGTTGCTGACCACCAGCCAGAACGAGGTCGACCAGGGAGCCAAGCATTCCTGAGTCGGAGATTCGCGACTTGAGAGCACGAATATTTGCTCTCACGCTCTCATACGCTTCCCCAATCAGGCCTGCCAATTTTTCAACACGGTCCTTGGGAAGCTTTGCTGTCTTGGAACCCTTCTTCGATGCGATGGTATATATAAAGGACAATGCCTTGAGCGACTCTAGCACGAGGAAAACGTCATGTAAGTATTTCCATGATGGGGCCGAGGGAGTTTCCGGTTTCAAAAACACTGCAGTCCTCGACATAACAGGGGAGAGTTTCGCGCTATCTAAGGCAAAGTCCTTCGACGTGAACTCGAGCCACTGCTCCACCTGCGATAGGCAGGTGTCAACTTCTTCCGAACTGACCGATCTTGATCCACTGAGGGTCTTCGTCACTTTGAGGAGATTCAGATGTAGCTTGACGCTCTCTATTTCAGGAGCTGTCATCTCAGACTCGGCAACTGAGCTCAGAAGATCATCCAGGCTAGGCACATCAAAGTCTGAAGACACCGGCTTCTGAGCAGCGAGGTTCTTCAAGAGGTCGAACAGTTGATCTGTCAATTGAGCCGATTTCACCCAATGTTTCTAAACGACATCAGTCACGTTCTATCCAGAGACAAGAAGGCAGACTCACTTTAGGCAGAGGTCCCAAGCGCACTCGCTCCTCAAAGGTAGGCTGGCCCGCTGCTTCACAGTTCATAAATGCATCAAAAACACGTTGGTCTACCATGGGAGATGTCTCTCTTGCTGAAGTAGATGTTCAAGTGAGCATTTAGCTTGATATATTCCGTTGGAAAATGAGAAAGACTCACCCAAATCACTGTACCGGCCCATGTTGTCGCCTCCAGCTAACCGCTGTATCCGCTTCACATCTAATGCCCACATTCTACGGCAGATACTGTGCTTGAGCCGCCTCTGAAGGTCAATGGTTCCTTCGACGTTCACATAACTGCCGTATTCCAACCCATTCGTCCTGTTCCTAACTGTCGTGACATCCGCAGTCCGGTAGAAATTGAGAGCTTGTACAAATGCAGATTGCGGGTGGAAATCCTTGTATTCTGCACCTTCAACTGGCGGTGCTGAATGGGGGTGGATAGTTGCTAGACGTGTAAAGAGATTGTGCGCCACTGTTTCGTACTGCAGCTGCTTGACAGCTAGTTTGCTGAACGTCCTGAGAGCCAGAGATCCTGCGCCTAAGCGAAGGTATATCCGAACGAGCAGCAACAGCGCGTTGTAATTATGAGGAGAGTCAATCAAGAGACGCTCAAGAATACCCGCTGCGCGAATCAAACTGGTGTCCGGGATCTGGTCCGGCTTATCATTGATCCAGCCTCCACTGAATCGAATGAGACTCATAGCGGCGAGCAAGCAAAGGTCATCACTTGGCTGACTCTCGATGGTCGAGCCGGCTGCGCTACGCTCAGGACGCTTTGCACCGCGGAAGATCTGGAGGCAACGCGAAACAAAATCTTCAACTTTTTGCTGTGTGGCATTGGCCTCGTCAGCCGAAAGCAGGGAGCAGTACTCGAGTTTCAAAGCATTGATCGCCGAGACGTCCTTGAACGGATCATTTTCCTTCATCTAGAGAGTCAGTAACCAAGGACATAGATCGCGGTCATTATTGGACATACATCGCCTTCACTTCCTTGGGACTGAGACACGTATTGAACGAACTCCGTTAGTGATCCCTTATCCAAATCAGACAGGTATTTCCGAAGGTCTCCGAAGCAATAGAGTTTGGTTTTATTTCGATTAAAGTATTCCTGGCAGGCGGTGATCAGATCATCGCTCTTTAGGCTGCCGGACTTGAGGCTCCAGTGGATCAAGTCAAGGCGTGCCAACTGTGCGTTGCGTGATCTGGGAACAGCCTGGATGAACTCATCAATGAACTTCCCGATCTCGGCAGTAGTTCTATAACCTTCATTAGCCTATCAGAGGTCTCTCCTCCAAAAGCTGACTTACTCAGTGTTCTTAATATTCTGAACCGAATGAACGAGTAAGCTCCAGACAGCCCAGTCGTCGCTCTCTTGGAGAGTCTTCTCCTCTGATTCATTAGTCGGAATTGCCAGAATATCCTTCGCGTAGGAGAGACCTTCAGCCCACATCTCAGCCTTCTCCAAGCCAGAGAGCTTTTCTCCAATGAAAGACCAATCGTTTTGAACAATTCGTGAGTTCAGGCCCAAATTCTGGCTATCAAGGAGCTTCACAACCTCGGTGTGACGCCCTTGAGATTCGCAGATCTTGATGAGTAGTAAAAGCTCCTCGGCGTTTTGGATGGCTCTGGGAGTGCTCAGCAACTCTTTCTGTTGTGATGCGTATAAGAATCATCATCAAGCCGCGAGGATATATAGCGTGGGAGCCGCCCGAACACGGAGAGAAAAGGGCAAGTTTGAACGTACTGGATCAGCAGGGACGCTATCTGCAGCTTTGGAGGCCATACGATAAGCCAGTGTCCCAAAGAGCTTCCGTTCGGCCTCCGAACTGTTCTTGTCCACAGCAACAAGGTAACTGAGGAAAATGGCCCAAAAATAGTATTTCCGCGTCTTGGGGAAGTTGCTCTGAAGGCTCATAGCAGCCTGCGAAGAGCAGTTAGACCCGAAAGAAACTCAGCCGTAGGGATGCGGGTGGTTCCATCAAAGTGCAGCACTGACCTTTTGCGCTGATTTCCAGTCATCTCCCTCGAATGCATATGAAAACCACCTCAACTGAACTTCTACGTCCTGCGGCTTTGCTTTGGCAGCTTTTTCCCACAAGCTTCTCATGGTATCCTCCTTGCCGCCTATCTTCTGTAGCGTCTCCTGCAAGATTTCGAGTGTGTCTAGATCTGTCGTTGGTGGCTCTAGCTTGCACAACTCGAGCGTTTCGGCAAGGCCGCGCTGGCGATGGGCGTCGTCCGCATGGCGGTATAAGATCTCTGCTTTCCACGCCTGTTTGATACGAACAGAAGTTAGCAGCCACTCATGAATAATATTGCAAGAAAGTGTTCTGTCACATGGCTCGGAAACAGCCGAAATAGTGAAACGGAACACTGGTCACACCACTGAAACCCAAGAGCGGCAGTGGATAATTTACCTTGAGAAATCTTGAGTCCTCTCCCTTTTTCATGCGTTTCTCGATTAGCTGTAAAGCTTGCTTCAAGTTCTGCCCATCAATGGCGTCCTGGATTTGCTTGTTCCGCCGATAAAACACGGCGTCGTTGGTGGCCGACATTATGAATCAGAAAGCCCGGCGGTAGCAATATGAGATAAGATCTAGTAGACAGGGATCGAGGTCAAGGCAATGACCAGATAAGGTCGTTTGCTGCCCGGCCGAGCACAGCACAGTTGTGCGGGGAATCAAATTGAAGATGGCGGAAGATGAGGGGAGTACTTGTATCAGAAATTCGTATCATTGCAGTATTCTTCTGTTTGGCGGGGAGAGATTCTCCCGAGGCGGTGATGGATGAGGTCTGTCGAAGCTATTATTATTCTTTCACATGTCTCATTGCTACTGCTATAGATCATGAATATAATCTCTTGTACTATTGACTTTTTTGCTTTACTCAGTGAGTGGCTATATTGCGATCTGTATAAAATCCATGAAAGGTGCCTTTCATAGGTCTTCATTCACAGCATCACAAGACTATCTATATAAATCTGACAGGAGCACCAGCTCTTAGGGGATGGCAATACTGAGAATACAAGTATATACTCAAGAAGTCATTTACAAGCTCTCAGGTAATTGTAGCACAGGCATTTTACAAATAACAAAGACAAATTCCACGGTAGTACAATACACCATAATATACAAGTTCAGACAAAAAGTTCGCTCGAACTCCACGGCGTAAACTTCAGGAAAACACCCCCTAATTCAGAAGAGTTGACTCTTGTAGACCTGCCGCGCCAAAGTAGGTACGCAGTTGTATGAACCAAGCACCGAGAGCGCACCTACTCCTCAGTGAGCCAATCGGACCTATATCGCCTGAGTTGAGTTGGAGAAAACGAATTCGATCAGCAGGTAGTACCTGTTTCTTCAGAGCCAGTAATATCTGCCCTGGAGAAACAAGAGGATCCCAAGATTCATGATGTTTGGGTGTCGGAGAGGGATTATCGCTATACTGCATCCCAGTGCCTAAGCGGTGCTGCAGAGGTATCATCATCGACAGCGTTGCGGAAAGTAGCTCTCCCCTAATAACAGAGCAGGTGACTAGGTGAGCTTCTTCTGGGTCAACTGGAACAGTGTTAGCAAGATGACCACATCAGTCCCCTGAGCGCCGTCCTTGCTCCCCATCTGGGCTGTTTTGACTTTGCATAATTGACATTGACTGGTTCGACATACCCATTGTTTTTTGCAGTCACGATAAGCTCTTTTAGAGAATAAGTTAGCTCTTGTAAGTCTAGGAAGTGGAATACCAGCATAGAGTCGCAGGAAAGCATGAAACAAACATACTGGAAGTAGTCTCCACACATCTCTCTGTCAAAGGCGTTCCGCTTCATGCACTTGAGACTTCGATCTGCGAAATCCTGGCATGGGTCATAATATTCACTCGCATGTTTACTGAATCAAGGTCAGTATCTTAACAAGAGCATGGTTGAAGCAGAGTCTGGTGAAAGTCGGAAGCACTTGGATACATTACATGCTCTCTGAGAATTACCGGACAACAAGGTCACCAGAATCATCCGGAACATGATATAATACGAAAGATGGCACAGAGGATCTTGAAGAACAGGTGGAATGAGCTTACTTGGCAAATTTGCGCTCCGCTTTCTCCCAAGCATTGGGTTGGCCTGGCTGTGAAGCCTGTGAAGCCTGTGAAGCCTGTGATGACTGTTGTTGGTCGGCTTGGGATGACTGCGATGACATCTCTCCTATGAATGAAGTGTCTTCGAGTCAGAGAACGGTCTTTTTGCGCAAAAGCTGAGCCAAACAACAAGATGATCGTGGTCTTGTACCTGTGAGTCTACCTAGATAATTGCAATCTCCTTCCAGTAATGATCCAGACTCCATGCGAATGATACATGGACTGGTGCCGAGGAAAATCCGGCCCGGGTCCCGCAGTCTTGGCATATGGAGATACTTTGATGGAGCTTATTTGCATGCGCAGAACAGTGACAAAAACGAAGCGCCTACTTAAGGGACTCGCACTGACTGAATTAGATTTTGTAATTGACTGAATGGTAAAAAAAAGCTCAGAGAAGGTCTGCAGAGCCCATTGTTATCACATAAGATATGCAGGCCTGTTAGTAGCTAGTAATGAGTAGGACCCTGCCCATAGTTAATAGTAACATAGTAAGTTTTGCTTCTAGAGATCTCATTTATGAAGTATATTATAATAATAAAGACTTGCGCGTAAGGCATATGTAAATAGACTGTTTATTCATGAGATTCACTACTTTATAGTTAAAGCATTCACTAATAAGTAGTATGAGATTACATGATGTTGCGACACTAAAATCACTTATCATAGATACTTCGAATTCACACACCCTAAGTGCCTAAAGGGATAAGTATGCGTTAAACTCTCTTATTTTCTTTCTTCTTCTCTCGACAGCATCAATCTGTGTTGACTAGCCTCGCAGGACCACGTACTAGTCTTTCTAATCCATCATCACCTGATTCTTCAGGTTGGAATCGCTGTCGAAGACGTGAGTTCCCCTCGATAGCCCATCGCCTGTAGTTGCAGGTTCAAGGATGATGGATGAGATTTCAGTGGACTGACGATAATCCAGAACCAGAACCATGGCGACTTCCGGAGCCCTTTCGTCTGCTCCATCTCCAGATCTAGCGATTGATTTTCACACCAACGATGCCGGACATATAGGAATAGAGAGTCATTCCTCTCAGCCACAAAGGCAGGCCGAAGCGGAGTTTGTCGAATTCGACCCAGCTAAACATCTCGATTTTACTCCTCCTTCCAAGGTCTACACCATGGCAGAGCTCGGGTATCCAGAGCGCCGTGGTATTTCTCCTGTTGGCGTCTCTGAACCCTTCCCAATGTTCTCTGCCGAGGCCATTCAAATCATGAGAAAGGAAGCCCTTGGGGAGGATGTCTTTGCCAAGTATCACTGCTCCAGCGACCTTGCCAAAGGCCAGCTCAGAGGCTATGCTGCAGAGTGAGTTTTGCGATGTCTTCGCTCACTTTGAATCGTGCTCTGACCTTAGCAGGTGCGCCCCGTTTGTGTACGACGCCTGGAAACACCCTCAGACTCTCGCTATTGTCTCTGAGATTGCCGGAGTCGATTTGGTTCCCGTTATGGACTACGAGATAGGACACATCAACATTTCCGTCCAGAGCGAGGAGGATAAAGCCAGATATCTCACAGCAGTGGCGGAAAAAAGTCAAGAGGCTGACAAGAGTGTTTCTGACGGTTCTTGGGAAGACGAGGATCCGATCGTGGATTGGCACACTGACGGCTATCCCTTTGTCTGCGTGGTGATGCTCTCCGACTGCAAGGACATGATTGGGGGAGAGACAGAGCTGAGAAAAGGCAATGGCCAAACGACCAAGATCCGTGGCCCCCAGATGGTAAGTCCAGTCTTTCACGGGGGGTACAATACAGGCTTAACCAGGTCGTCAGGGTTCGGCAGCAATCCTCCAGGGACGGTACATCGAACATCGAGCCCTCCGAGCCCTGGGAATAACCGAGCGGATCACAATGGTGACCTCCTTTCGCCCACGGTCTCCGGCGATTCCCGACCACACCGTTCTGACTACTATCAGACCGATTTCTGACCTTGGCGAGTTGTATCATCAGTTTGCAGAGTACCGCTTTGAGATTCTCGAAGATCGTCTCAGGGGAGTCAACAAGTACATGCGGGACCGCAAGCGTGCAAACCGCCGCTTCAACACAGGATACCTGAAGCAGTTCATTCGTGAACAGATCGAATTCTTGGAGCACATGGACCGAGAGATCGTTGACGATGACAAAGTCATCAAAGGCGTGACTGGCGACAGCCACCTCATTTCGGAAGATCTGAAGCTGAAGCACTCGAAGAAACTTGAGCTCGCTGCGGCAGAGTAGGCTGACGCTGCTCATTTGTTCAAGCTCTCAGTCCCTTGTGTCGCCTTCAGTACTCTGGGGCAAGCAGCTTTAAGACAATTGCTCAGTAGGCAATTGAGTCTAGTCTTTCGCGTTTCCTCTATTACTCCTGGCTTTCAGGGTCCTGGTTGCGTGGGGAATTTGCTGTTCGGTGTTTTTCTCTCATTTCGGGATGTCGTTACCCATAACGTTCAGAATGGCCAGTAGCCGATTCATGACAATATTCGTTCTGAGAGAAGAGAGTCGTAGTATCAAAAATTGCGATGAGTCTAAGTAAACGATCGATACCTGGATGTTCAGAGTTAGAACCTCGACTGATTGAAGGAACTATGCAACTTTCTTCAGACTCAAGTCGTGAACTAGCGGGAAGGAACAAGATTTTGTCGTTTAGCTGTGAAGAGTTCAAAGCTTGACAGCGATATACGTGGAACACATTTCCCTAGATTCTATGTGAATTTCTTTTGGAGCTCATGTACCCGAGCCACCTGTTGTTGTGCAGGGAGAAGGACTATGTCAAGCTGCGAGTCTCCCAACACAAATCAGAATGCAGCACATCGAGCCGTTCCCCCCAAAGTGCTGTCAATAGGATGCCGATTTTGATAATGACTGACAAATGACTGCTCGGTAAGCTGGTTCAAAACCAAACCAGTAACACTATTCATAGGCATCAACATATGCCTATTAAGCAACCGAGTTCGATTCAGAGCAGAGAAGCAGACAATGCAGGCTTAATGATGAATAGAGCTGCACTATTACCCCTGTTCGTCGAGGAGGGAAATTATGTCTCAGCCATTGCATGAGTACACTGTCTTGCATCTTAATATTATTCAACTATTTGGTCTTTCGCATGTTCAAGGACTGAAGTGTCATTGTCGATTCAGAGGCCCACACTGCTATTATTGTTGGATAATAGCCTTCATATTTAGGCCAGGAACATGAAACTAAAGACAATCAGACCTGCATACGAGGGTAGGACTTCTCAAATTTTCTTTGTCAAAGATGATTGACTGTTGATTGATGAATTGTGAGGAGTCGAAAGGGGCTGTTGAGCCATCACATCGAGTCCATTGGAATGGAAGTCAGGTGACCTGCCGCCTATTGTCCGACGCGGTGTTTGTTCAGTTTGCGCGCGGAACTTCCGAAAAAGAAAGTCATGCTCACGTCGCCCTGTCCTGGCTGAGGACCGTGGTTTATCGACCACGACTTTTTCTTCTTCTTCTGCTTCTGCTTCTGCTTATTCCTTTCTCAAGTCCCCTCTTCCCTTCGCTTTCTTCCAGCTTTTCTATCGTCCAATCTTCACTCGGGACGATATCACCGAGTCCTCGAGGATTCGTCCCGGTTCACCGTTGGAATCTGATCTCCTCCGCCTCTTCTATACTTCAGATAAAGTGGCTGCCGCGTTATAGGTACTTTGAAGCCTTGTCGACAGAGAAATCCGAATCTTGCCACTATCGCAATATTTCCAATTTCGCTCGCGCGGTTGTTCGCATCTGTGTTTCCTTGTCATTGCAGTGATTTTCGGAGCGATATCGACATCTTTCTCTTCCTGGGGAGGATATTAACCCATTAAGCAAATGTCGCCATCTACTACCGCGGGAGCCAGATCCGCCAACGGCCCCGATAATGTGAACTCGACTAACCCGGCAAATGGATTGGAGGACGGTGCATCAGGAGTAAGTAGACTGAATTTGAAATTCACCCCAAGGTTCTCGCCAGGCCGATGCTAAAATAGCCTTGCACAGCTCGTTCAAACGCTACAGGGACATGTAGACGAAATCAGATCTCTCTTACAATGCAGTATTTGTGTTAAACCACTTTATGAACCTTTCACACTCGCCTGTGGGCATACCTTCTGTTACAGTGTTAGTTTGGTTTGGTCAAAGTACTATTTCCATTATTCGGACGAAATCTCTAACATTCGGGATAGTGCTTGTCATCATGGTTTACTTCGGGAAGATCGAACAAAACATGCCCCGACTGTCGGGCGCCGGTAAAAACCCAGCCTGCGCCTGCCTACTTGGTGAGATGCCCTTTGTCTTCTGAACAGTATCAATCTTCAGGACTCTTGCGCTAACATTCCCTCCTGAAGATTCGTTCAGTCGTCCAGATGTTCACGAGTCGGGCAGAGCTCCTGGATAAAAACGAGACAACCGCTCAGCATGAGCGTTCTCAGCGTGAGGAAGCTGAGAAAGTGGAGCAAGACAAAAGGAATACGCATCCAAGAGAAGGGGGATTGTTCCGGGGTACATTCAATAAACCAATCCATCAGGCGCCCATCATCGACGTTGAAGATAATGTCATTCGCTGTCCGCGCTGTTCTTGGGAACTTGAAGATGATGCCGGCTGCGCGCGCTGTGGATACCATCGAGACGATCAATCAGTAACGGACGCTTCCGAATCGGTGACCGGATGGACCGAAGAGGAGGAGAACTCTGAGATGACTGATTACTACGATGACGAAGTTGACGTTGGGTTTGGCGGTGGCTACCGCAATGGCTGGGCACTCGATCAACTTTTCCACCATCTAACTCCCGCTCTCCGGGGCCAAATTCAACGCCTCCCTTCCGTCGACTCAGCAAGTCTTGACTATTCGGAAATCGACGACTACGATGGCGGGGAAGAGGATGCTGATATGGATTCTTTCATTGATGACGACGAACATATCGGCCGCGATTACGTCTCTGATTCAGATATATCTACCGTCGTCGGTGGTCTGGACCGTAACGGAGCCCATTACGACGGGTCACAGTTGGACTCTGACTCTTCAATGTCACACACTAGTGATGATGAGGATAGTTTGAACGAGCTTACGCCAACTGGATCCAGCTACCTGGACCACGATGAGCAAGATGATGAACATGACGTCGACGACGACGATGACGACGATGAGCCTGTACGGCCGCCCGTCAACGGGAACCGCCGTCGTCGGGGACCTACCTACGATGAAGTAGTGATATCAGTGAGAACTCAGTCAAATTCACCCCCGACTGTTTTCACCTCCAGAATATCGCATCAAACGAGTTCCCACTCGGCTCGTCGCAGTATGTCATCTCATCAGAATCAAGCGTCTACTGCGGGATCATCGGCCTATAATGCGATTAACCTGGAAGATGATTCTGACGAGGGCCCCGTTGGACCGTCACGGCGGGCAAGAAACAGAAGGGGTTGCAGGGTTCAAGTCTACTGAGCAATCCAGTGTCCTCCGGGTGGTGCAGTTCCATTGATGAATTTGGCTTGCGACCTCATGGACCATTTCCCCCACGCTGCACACCCTTCGGACAGATTCGCATTCTGTGTCCTGTTGCAAGGGTGCAGGGCGAATAATAAGGGGAAGCATAAACCATGGAGGTGGTACTGCGCTGTTTGCGCTCACGCCGATCATAATGTTTTAATTTCGACGAATCACGATTTCCGGCATTCTGGAAACATCGTACAATCGATGCGTTTACCTTGTTCACTCATCGGTGGGAGTAAAAGGTCGGATCCGGGTCTAGGGACATCTGTTTTAGCATTCGAGGGCGTGATTTTGGCTTTATTGTTCTTGTTCATTTTCAATACCCCTTCCCGTCATTTTCAAGGTCAATTTTAAGCTGTGCTCTATTTGGCCTTAGCTGCTATCCAGCGAACACTTTAAAACAAGGTCCATTAATCTTGCTGAAGTTGTCTTTACTCATAGAGAGATGTAGTTTGTCCAGTCGACAGGTTTTAGGCACTACTATGAAATTTACGGAAGAGTCCATGGCATGTCAGAAAAACGCAACTTGAGCCCATATTGATATCAGGCTTATGTTCCTAAGGGGACTCTGCAACAAATAGTTTTTCATGGCCTGTGTTCTCGTTGATCTATATACATGAAGGCTAGGGAATGTACCGAACGCCGGACTATTTCCTAGTACAAGAAGATGCAAACAAAATCGAAGCTGGTATACGAGTCTTTCTACACCATGAAATTCTTGTCAATGGGTTGCAGAACTTCAATTCTGCAACCAAATGCCCTCACAATAAGGTAGGTTCATGGACGTGTGCATGCAAAATGCATTCTCCAATGCCCCGGTCAGCGAATGTGTTCCAGTCACTGCTTGTTGTTGGAAATAAATGGAACTTCAAAGACCACCGCGCCGTTGCGGCCGTCAGCTGCAGACCCCTCATAGGAATTGTTTGTAAAGCACTTCCAGCGCCCAAACCTGTGTTCCTTCCCCACAGCAGCGACGATGCAGAGACCGCGGGGCTCGGACTCGGACGACTTGGACTTCGACTTGGACTCGGCCGGGCCTTGGCCGGGTTTGGCCGTGTCGGCACGACGCTCAAAGACGGCGATGTCGTTGATGACACCCCTGATGAGAGGTTCGGCTTCGTCCTTGGCGTCCTCGGTGTGTTGATTCTGGGGCTCGTCGACGGACATGGTGTCTGCGTCGGCGGCTGTGTTAAACTCGAGGGTTTGTTTGAGCTGTCGAGACGGCGTGTCCGGTGCGGCGGATCCGAGCTTTCCTCCGCCGACGGGGCCAAGCGGTATGATTGTCCTCTTGTCCTCGGAAACCTTCCAGGCTCGGATGAAGCCGTCCCAGCTGCCGCTAAGAACGATGTCGGTGCCAGGTACTGTTGCCAAGGCGGTGATCCAGCGGGGCATGCGCCGCAGGAAACGGGAGTTCGAGCCCGCAAGTTTTTGATCGACCTCAGCTGAGAGCTCGTCCAGTGGTGGTAGAGGGTCTAAGCCGTGAGCGCATTCAATGGTGTGGAGAGGCTTCTTCTTGTGAATGGACCAGAGTGAGATAGAGCCGGAATCTGAACCTGTGACAAAATGGTTTGGAGGTAGAGGTGCCACACAGTCGATGGTATTTTCCCGATACGTGTTTTTGGATGATCCGCCACGGAAGACCAGTTGTGTTTCTTCGACGACCTTCCACAACCGAGCGGTGCGATCGCGTGCTCCAACACTGATGCACTGATCGATAGTCATGGCGGCGACTGACGACACATTGTCCTGGTGCCCGAACAGGGTCTCGACGTAAGCATGGCCGGCCGAACTCAAGGACCATGTCTTGATGGTTCTGTCATAGGAACCTGAAAATAATTGCTCACCGGAGCTCATAGTGGAAAGGTGTCGGACAAAGGCGAGCCCACTAACTGTATCACGGTGTTGGCTGAAGGTTTGCATTGGCGTCAAAGTAGCAGCATCCCAGATGATCAACTTTCGGTCCTCTCCGCCAGTAGCCACGAACTTCCCCGATGGCGACACGGCGACTGAAAGGATAGCCTCAGTATGACCATGTTCCTCGCCAGTCTCTGCGACTTTTCTTAATCCCCGAGCGAACTTCACTTGCTTTGGCTTTTTCCGTTGAGGCCTTGCAGGACGCTTAGATCCCTCATTCTGTTCATTTGTCGCTGGAACCGTGGCGGATGCGTGACTCGGCGTTGCGAGTTCCCACTTGATCAAGGTCTTGTCTTTTGACACTGTATAAACATAAGGCGGGTGTACTGCAATTGAAGTTGTCGACTGGGTATCTGCGCGGAAAAACAACGGCGTCGCCGTCGAAAAAGCTAGCTCCGAAGCTATCTGACGATAAGAGCGTCCTTTAAATTCATCCTTTTCGAGCATCAGCCATCTGGTCTGTCCGGTACATACTTGTGCAGTACGGCTGGGTTAAGGCGATTAAAGAGGCGATACATACCACATCCTCCTTTAGTCTCTCGGCAATCAAATCTCGATCAATCTCAGCAGCATCGAAGCCGTAGTCGTCCACCTCCTCCCGCACATTTTCCAAGTACCTCTCAGCGAGTTTCAATCTTCTCTCTGCTGCCGTCTCGCCATCCTCAGACTCCGAACCGCTTTCCTCTTCGGATACTGCCGATGCCACGCTCTCGTCGTCATCGTCCAGGTCACTTCCAGAAATCGATTGGTCCCTTTCTCTCGTCCTGCTTCTCCCCTTCGCACCAGAATCTCCGTCCGCGTCTACGCCTCGCTTTTTTGATGCCGGAGCTGTGGCGCGGTCGTCTCTCTTCCGCTTTCGCTGAGAAGCGGGCAATGTGAAAAAGGACGACATCGCACGACCGCGTCTGAAGATTACCGTGCAAAATTATCGGTCAAAGCAACTTTGTGGTCGACAATGAAGTATTAGGGTAAGAGATGCCGGGCATCTTTCTTGCATGGCCGCAAGTAATAATTTCTTGTCGCTCTTTTTTTCTGCCGCTGGTCCGTGCAGGAGGCGGCCTCGGAAATCGGAGGAGAAGTTAACGCCTAAATGCTGAGTCAGCGGCCAGCTCCGCAACAACTCAGAAGCTCCAGGCAGTGAAGCTCGCGCGGCTTCCAGGTGAGCTCATCAGCTTACAATCTCCATCGTCCTCATCCTTTTTCGTCCTCATCCATCATATTCTTCTCCCCTTCCTACGACAGATTTCTCTCAAGATGTAAGAATAGTATTCTATTTTTACGAAGAAGTCACGGTCTAACCGCTACTTTTAGGGAGGTTCTACTAGGTATCACTGGCAAGGACTTCGTCATCCTGGCGGCTTCCAAAGCCGCTATGAGAGGACCGACTATTCTCAAAGCAGAAGATGACAAGACACGGCAATTGAACCAGCACACTCTTATGGCGTTTTCCGGAGAGGCAGGAGATACAGGTCCGTAGAGTTGGCTTGCAACGAATGACATCAACAGAGCACGGCTGACGATCGTTGCGGATAGTGCAATTCGCCGAATACATTCAAGCCAATATTGCGCTATACACGATGAGGAACGACACCGAATTGGGTCCGAAAGCCGTTGCCAACTTTGTTCGAGGAGAATTGGCACGGAGTTTGAGATCACGGAATCCCTACACGGTCAACCTCCTGCTGGGCGGAGTGGACTCCATCACACAGGAACCTCACCTGTATTGGATTGACTACTTGTCTGCGCTAGCCCCAGTACCCTACGCCGCACACGGTTATGCTCAGTAAGTGTCGACATTAACGGGGTTGATGAGTGGTCGTCGAAAGCATGGGAGCTGACAAAGTGTGTTAGATACTACTGCTTATCGATCCTCGACAAACACCATCATCCTGATATCTCCCTCGAACAGGGTATGAAGCTCTTACAGATGTGCACAGACGAGCTCAAGCGCAGACTACCAATCGATTACAAGGGCGTACGTTCCCGATTAACAATCTAGCGGTATCCGCTTTTGCAGCATCAGCTACTGACTTGTTCCTATAGGTCCTTGTAAAGGTCGTTACCAAGGATGGTGTCAAGGAAGTAGACGTCGATAATGATAGAATAGTCAAGAGTGCTTAGTTTCATACCTGGAATGACGGCGTTGTATCATACCATAATTTGTCTTTTCACTGATTTGCTTTTGAAGACCGGATGCATGGCAGGTATTTTCCATGACTTGGGCACGTATGTAGTCTCTAGATATGGAAATGATTGAAAGAGTCAATACTCTCCTTAACTCAGAATATCCGCTTGAGTAGATGGTGATGCCTCGAATGGGATGCGCATTGGTGACGCTGCATGTTTGACATGTTTGCATCTCTGGTCTCTATCGCGTCTTCTAGAGCTTCGCCCGGCAATAGTTTCGGAATACCAGCTCCATCTCCGGAATTTTCAACTCAATTGTTAATTTCACGGCCACGATGTCGAAGAGACAGGCAGAACTGTCGCTCGAGGACGAGCCTGCAGTAGGCTCTCCTGTTTCGAAGAAGGCTCGTGTGGAAGACGAGTTTGAAGAAGGTGATCCCCGCAACGGAGCATTGCCTTTGCGACGGGCCAGTGGCCAGGAAATGGAGGAGCATGAACGCAAAGGGCAGGATATACTTGCAGCAGCTGATCGTGAAGAGGAAGAGATGGAGGAGGCAATTCCAGAGAACGCCGAAGTCGCCGAATCGTCCGATGTCGATGATGACCGGCCAGTCATCGCAGCGCCGAAACGCCAAAGTGAACCTATGGAAGGCTACAGCGACCTCTACCTCGACACGATCAATCGCGAGATTCTCGATTTTGACTTTGAGAAGCTGTGCTCCGTCAGCCTTTCAAATATCAACGTATACGCCTGCCTGGTCTGCGGCAAATACTTCCAGGGCAGGGGCCCCAAGTCGCATGCTTACTTTCATGCTCTCGAAGTTGGACATCATGTCTTCATCAACATATCGACCAAGAAGGTTTATGTTCTTCCTGAAGGATATGAAGTCAAGAGCAAAAGCTTGGATGACATCAAATATGTGGTGGATCCTCACTACTCAAAAGAGGAGGTTTCTAAATTGGATAAAGAGGTTCACGATGCTTTTGATCTTGCAGGCAATCGTTACAGACCTGGTAAGTGTTTTCTTCAGTTCCGTTCGAGATTTTTAACACAAACTAATGTATTTGATTTTCCCCCTTAGGCTTCGTGGGAATGAACAACATCAAAGCCAACGATTATCTTAACGTCGTAGTCCAGCTCTTGGCTCACGTTTTCCCAATTCGCAACTACTTTCTGCTGCATCAATTTCCTGTACCAGGCACGCCGGAGTTGGCACTTCGCTTCAGCACACTGGTACGTAAATTGTGGAATCCCAAGGCTTTCCGCTCGCATGTTTCGCCGCACGAGTTGCTGCAGGAGATTGCGCTCCGGTCATCGAAGCGCTTCACCCTTACCCAGCAATCTGATCCAGTAGAATTTCTCTCCTGGTTTTTAAACAATCTACACCTGTCCCTAGGTGGTTCGAAGAAACCATCGTCGACCCCAACGAGTGTGGTACAGGCTGCTTTCCAAGGTCACTTGAGAATTGAAAGTCAAGCCATTACTGCGCACTCGGATACCCAAAACGCTCGTCTGGTCTTCACCGAGTCAGGCACTATCAACAGTCAAACCACCCCATTCCTCATTTTAACTCTGGATCTTCCGCCAACACCCCTCTTTCAATCCGCGAACCGAGAATCTATCATCCCCCATGTTCCCCTCACAACTCTTCTAAACAAGTACAACGGTATCACTGCCTCCGAGAAGTTGGCTCACCGTGTCCGACATCGTCTCCTTCATCCTCTCCCCCCCTACCTCTTATTCCACATTAAACGATTCAGCAAGAACAGATTTGTGTCTGAGCGCAATCCCACTATTGTCACTTTCCCGTCACCGCGCTCTCTAGATATGTCGCCGTACGTGGAACCTAACCCGGAGATCTGGCCACCTGGAGAGCCAATTCTCTATGATCTCGTCGCCAACATTATCCTTGATCCCACTGTGGCAGCACCAGGTGCCACTGAGGATGCTGCAGAGAAGGGCCTCACTGCTGCTGGCGGAACATCGTCGGCTGGTGCCGGTGCTGGCAGTGAGAGGGTGGCCTGGCTCGTCCAGCTCCACGACAAAGCCATGGCAGTGGAGAACAGACGGCATCAAAGTCAAGGTGATGGGGAACAGCAAGGACCTGAATGGTTGGAGATCCAAGATCTATTTGTCAAGAAGGCCGAGAGCGAGACTCTGTTCACGCGGGAGGGCTATCTGATGGTTTGGGAGCGTCGAAAGATCCCTGGCATGAATAATCGGAAAGGCAAGGGCGCTGCCAAGTGAGAGACGAGTGCCCTCAATGAGTGAAGCCGGGATTGGGAACAATATATCAGTATTTTATTCCAAAGAGCACCAGCTGTTATAGATCAAGCCGCATGTGCAAGATATACTGATACACTACTCGCTTGGACAGATACTATTGTACAATTAAATGTGATGTATAATGATGGTGATAATTTTCCATGCAGTTTATTATTCTGCTGCGGACACATGTAGGATGCTGGAATGAAAGCTACAATGTCATTACTTCGTATCACTATTTGAGTTTACACTGTACAGCACTCTCCGCATCGAAGGAGAATTCAAGTCAGGACATGCATGTCAATCGCAAAGTGACAAGACAATTGCCAGTATTGAATCAGCACGCTCATAAATTTCCCCAACCACAAAATCGCTTGCCGATCCTGATTGCAGCGCCTGATATCACACCCCACACACTTGCGTTCACCGCGGCTTGCAAGCCCACCATGAGGGCCAACTTGCCCATATATGCCATTATATCAGAGGAGGAGCCACCTCCACCCCATGCACCGAGGGAACGGACGTCGGAACGTAGAGGGGACCCTACAGATGACAGATAGGAAGAGGCGAGGCAACGCAAATAGTATGACTCGAGGGGGATGAAGAGCGCAGTGGTGGCAATAGAGGCGATGTGTGAAGCAAGAGAGTCGACTGGATGACAGGAAAGGATTGTGACGCGGTGTGGGACAGAGGAGGCGTCGGCTGTCATGTCCCCAGAAGCGAGAGCGTCTGCTAGTGGCGGTGGCAGCTCCCCATCGGAAGCACTGGCATGAAGGACGTCCGCTTCCGAGGTCGGCTCAAGATTGTCGTCCTGGCTTGGCTCTTCCACGCTGTCTGGTAAAATGCTAGCGAGTGTTGAGACCGGCTGCGTGGCGGGTGTATCGTGTGTAGGCTGCTCAGCTACTGTGTACTGATCGTGCCCTTGATCGTGAAATGGAATACTTGACGCACTGTCTCCGGCTCCAGGAGACAGCGCGGCGGTCATATTAGAAAGACCATCGCTGTCTACAGTTTCCGAACCAGCTACCGTAGTGAGATTTTGCCCCTGATTTGCTAGGAGATTGTCCAGGAAATCCTGGATTGACCTACGGTCTGCTGGCTCTCCGTTGTAGTCGGACCGGTCGATTTCGTTGGCAGTTCTTGGATTCTGTGGGTTCTGGTTGTGCGCATTACGGTTTCCCAAGACTTCCAGCTGCATGGTGATCACGTCTGAATTCTGATGGATCAAGGATGCTCGAACACGTGGCGAGGTTGGAGGAGAGGTTGCAGGAGACGACTGGCGCGATAAAAGGGTATTGGATCGTGAGTTGAGCCGGCTCTGAGTGTGCTCAATAGAGCGATGGGTATCTGCCGAAGGGTTGGATAAATTTACAGCAGAAGGAATGGTGCTTGGTCTCCCTAGTGTGGCTGCCTCCAAGGAGAAGCCTGTACTCAACTCGGCAGGCGACTGAGAAATCGGATCATCCTCACCGGATAGGACCCTGTTTTCGTTATAGTCTGCATCTTGGCCAAGCGGCTGTGTGGAAACATTGAGCCCAGAAGATCCGGACTGTGCAGCTTCAGCATGATCCTGGAGAGCCAGTTCCTCAGGAGAAGCGGTTGTCCGTAGTGAAGTCTCTTCCTGTGGTAAACGAGATCGGTAATGCGAAGAATTAAGCTCTGTCTGCAGCTCTGTCATGTTCAGACGTCGGTGGTCTATCCGTCCGTCCCTGAGTGTCGAACTCGCCTTCTCTTCAGGTGCACGCCTCGGTCTAAGACGAACCAACGACAACATCCAGTCCCGGAGGGAAGACAATTCATACATCACATCCTCTGTAAGAGACAGATTACTGCGGCGATTCTCTTCTTCTGATCTGCGTCCAAGAGTTGGTACCATCCAGTCTATCAGATCATTCTCGAACGCCACTCTGATGGAGAGTTCATCCGCAAGGCTCGGCTTCGGTAATCTTCGGCGAATCAAGCGATAAATCCTTATTTCTATTATGGGCCGCAGGTATACATAGAGATAGACGAGAAGAGAAGGAGTCTTAGATAACCCCAACGCAAAGTTGATGATGGTTTTGAAGGAGAGCTCTGTGGGCAAAGGCGGAAGATGCATTGAGGTCAAGTTGCCTATCGGGAAAAGAAACTGAATACCTGGAAGAGAATACGGTTGGACTAGATGCAGGGATTGCAGTAGTGAGTATACATATGTCTGCAATGCCAAGACAAGCAGAGTGCCTTTCGCCCTGCCGAAAGAGTTAGTCGAAGACGTTCAAGTATGATATCAGACACCTACGCAGAATGAAACATGGTGAGCGAGGCCCGCACAAGGCGTGACCAAGGGTCATCATTGAGATACTTGTTCTGTAGAGAGGCAACAAGGCGTTCAAGTGGATGATGCCGAGAGATAGATAAAGAAGTAGACACCGCCCATGCGGGAATTCCAGAGAAATAAAATCCCATCATCCCCATAGATGAGCGTTCACGACTTATGATATCCAATAGAGGAACATAAGTGTAGCTCTTGAATACCTACGATACACTCAATTAAAAAGCTTTCAAGGCTTTAGATATCGGTATGACTCTGGACTTACCTGTATTCGCCCTGCCAACGATGAGGTCCACCATGAACTGAGGAAAACAGCGACTTGATCAAAAGTAGCCATGATCAATCCATAGTCGTTTTCAGCAGCGATCATATCGATCTTCTGCTGCTCGTTTGGAGCGCCAGCGTTTCGATCCTCACTAACAACAATCCCCATTGTTGAAAGGATGTCATTCTTAGCTCTTCGTAATTCTCTGCCAAAGCTCTTAGAATCCGGGTTTATCGGATGCCCTCTTTCGTCATAATGCTGGACATAGCCGTCCGCATGGAGAGCGGAAGTCCTTCGATGAACTCGGCCAGATGCATCGGCCACAGGACCTGCAGGAGGCTCGGGGGGCTCGTACGGAGACCGGCCCTGCTCGATAATCAGGTATCTTCCAACACAATGTATAAACACAACTCATGATAATAGACTCAGTGTCCGATGACCTCTTTCAGCAAATTCAAACAAATGCAATTGTTACAGGTGCCAAGCCGGTAATCAAAATAACGGGGTTCAAGTGATAATGTCTCAAGAAAGACTACAACGAATGAGATATGAAATTCAAGCCTACCAAAGCAAGTCGATTTCTATAAGCCTGCCGCCCCATTGTGAGCTACTAGGAGACCTGACCCTGTCTGTCAATAAGTCATGAGCCCATGGTTCAGTATCATTATCCCTTGAAATAAGTCGGAATCAAGAGCTTTGTCCAGAAAGAAAGGATCTTGAGGGATACACCTACGATGAGATGGTCGAGTGAACAGTCACACTGATAGTTGGGGGCGTCTGATCACGTGTGTGCTGCTCGCGGCTACTGCGCTTGGTGCACGGACCAACGTTTATCGCCTTTTTTTTCTTCCCGCTTGACAAACAGAACAAACATTGTGGAAAAAGATCAAAAGTTTCTGGAAACAGCGCTGTCCTACGTCGCTTTGAACGGCAACAAGCGTTTCGAATTGTGTGTTACTGGGCAGATTCTGGACGTATGATGGCGCGCTAGTCTCTTTGCAATATCAACTTCAAATCCACCAAAAATCATGTCTAAAGCTGTTGTCAAGACGACTTTCGAGGCGTCTCGTACGCTTCGTCCCATATACACCGGAGGAAGTACCGCGCTCGATGCCAGTGGTCGGTTACTGGTGACTTGTGTCGGCGAGGATGCATTGATTGTGGATCTTGAGACTGGCGACCAGCTTGCCAGTCTTGAAGGGGTAAGTCTGGACTTTTTACTTCAGAGTGACCGAGTCGCAAGTCGCTGACCCAGAATTGCTAGGATGGAGAAATCATCACCAGCTTGGCAAGTACGTGTCTCATGTTCCCTTTTCCCTGCCACGGACCTCGTCTTTGAAGTCTGGAACTAACAGCATTATCAGTCTCTCCATCGGCTTCCCACGTCATCATCTGTTCACGGTCTCTGTCAATGCGAATTTATGCCTTAACACCCGTCGATGAAACCTCCAGAACCATTGAAACAACTCTTCTTCGAACTTTAAAACCCCATACCGCACCTGTCGTGACATCTGCAGTCGATCCGACCAGTACATTACTCGCAACCGGAGCTACAGATGGCTCCATCAAGGTCTGGGACATTAGGGGAGGCTTTATCACACATACCTTCCATGGCCATGGCGGTGTTATATCAGCCCTGTGCTTTTTCCAGGTCCCACTTCAGGATGGAGATACAAAGTCTTCCTCAAAGAAGAAGCAGTCAAAGAAGAAGTCCGTGGATTTGGACGGTGACGAGGACATGGCCGAATCTGACTCCGTGGTGGGCTTCCGACTTGCCTCGGGAGACGAAGAGGGCAAAGTGCGAGTGTGGGATTTGAACAAGAGAAAGTCAATGGCAATGCTCGAGTCTCACGTTTCTGTAGTACGAAGCTTGTCATACTCTCCCTCGGAGAATGCACTGCTATCTGCTGCTCGAGACAAGACCGTTATCGTCTGGGATGTGAGGACTTTCAAGACGCGGCGCATCATACCCGTGCTCGAAAGTGTTGAAGCTGCTACATTTGTCGCCGAAAGTGGGCTGTGCATGGTAGCAGGTGAAAACGGCAAATTGCGCGTCTGGGACTGCAATCGCGGAGGAGAGGTGACGAAAGAGCAAGAAGCTGGGCCTGAATTTGAGGCAGTTGTGGCCATCCACTACTTCCCTGGTATGAAGTTCGCTATGACCGTTCATGCAGACCAGACCCTGAGGCTTCATTCCCTCGATTCCTTGTCCGCCTTCAAGCCAGGTTCCACACTGGATCCTTTGGCAGTTGTCAGGCGCATATCAGGCAATGACGACGATATTATCGATTTAGCATATGTTGGTCCCGATAGATCGATGCTGGCGCTTGCCACCAACACGGAAAGCATTCGCATTATATCAGTCGCTCCGTCTGAGGATCGTCCGTCGAGCCAAGACGGTGAATATTTCGGTGCCGATGTCGCACATCTCGAGGGTCATGACGATATCATCATATGCATCGATGTAGATTGGTCTGGTCATTGGTTGGCGACTGGCGCGAAAGATAACTCAGCCCGTCTTTGGCGTCTTGATCCCAAGACATCATCCTATACATGTTTCGCGGTTTTCACCGGTCATGCAGAGTCATTGGGAGCTATCAGTCTTCCTCGAGTGCCGCCACCAGCCAACACACCCGCACACAATGACCCCTTGAACCATCCACCTTCGTTCCTTCTCACAGGCTCTCAAGATCGTACAATCAAGCGATGGGAGACTGGAAAGCTAGCTTCCCTCAGTTCGTCGAAACCGCACGCACCTAAGGCTTTCTATACCCGAAAAGCCCACGAAAAAGACATTAATGCCCTTGACATCAACCCTTCATCAACTCTCTTTGCTTCAGCTTCCCAGGATCGGACTGTGAAGATCTGGTCCACTGAAGATGGCTCCGTTGTCGGTGTCCTTCGCGGACACAAGAGAGGAGTCTGGTCTGTTCGCTTTGCCCCCATAGACACTCCCATCATCAGCGCCGACACCAAAAGCAGTACCAACAGGGGCCTGATTGCCACAGGCTCTGGAGACAAGACCGTCAAGCTTTGGAGCTTGTCTGACTACAGCTGTCTTTTGACATTTGAAGGACACACAAACAGTGTGCTGAAAGTCATCTGGCTCCCGCCTTCAGAACTGTCCACCAAAGGTGGAGACGCAGAGGAAGATGATGCAGATGCTTCGGTGCGCAAAACCGCTGCCCAGCCTAAACCCCTAGTCGCATCTGCAGCTGCCGACGGATTGGTTAAGATCTGGTCGCCTTATACCGGCGAGATCGAGACTACCCTCGACAATCACGAGGATCGAGTCTGGGCGCTAGCGAGCCCTACACCCTCCGGCTCTCGTGCCGATGTCAAATTGTCTACTTCTCAAAAAACCTCCACTCCGTACGCGCTCGCCTCCGGCTCAGCTGATTCCACTGTCACCTTTTGGACTGATACCACCTCGGCGACTTACACTGCTGCGGTTAGCGCCAATTCTGCCCGCGTTGAGCAAGATCAGCAGCTGCAGAATTACATTAGAGCGGGGGCTTATCGCGAAGCTATCACATTAGCCCTTCAGCTTAACCATCCTGCACGACTCTTATCTATCTTTACAACCGCAATCGATGCTGCGGATAATCCGTACTCATCAGACGCAGAAAAAGACGAGCGTGTCAACAGTTTGACTGGTGACGCATCGATCGATGAGGTCCTTCAGTCCCTCGATCCCTCTAATCTCCGCCTTCTTCTACTCCGATTGCGTGACTGGAACACTAACGCGCGCACTTCTCGGGTGGCGCAACGAATCTTATTTGCTTTGTTCAGATCATATCCTGCTTCAACGTTCGTGGAGCTGGCAACCTCTAGCATGGCAAAGCGAGGCAGTGATAGTCGCACCGCAGCAGGCATGAAGGATATCCTGCAGGCTTTGGCCGCATACACAGAGCGGCATTATCGTCGTATTGAAGAGCTGACAGACGAGAGCTTCCTGGTCGAATGGGTTTTGGGTGAGATGGACGGCGGCGTAGGCCTCCTGGGAGACCTCGGTGTCTCCAGTACAAGCGAGGCCAATGGTGATCAAGTACCTGAACATGAAAACGACTTCATCATGTTGGGGGTATAGACGCTGCGCTAGTGGGCTAGTTCATGTATAAAGTATATAGAGAGTGACATATTGGCGCTTCACTGGCGGAGTATGCTTGTATTTCATATACCATTTTCGTCCTTTACGGCGAGGGAGTCTAAAAGCATTCCATTGTCTCTGTCCCTTCTCAATCTTTTCCTGCATTTCCTTGCTTAGAATCTATTTTCGGGCGCTTTTGGATACAGAGATTCGCAGGCTTGAAGCAATTGAGACTCTTTCGAGATCACATTTGGGGAAGATCAATCAAATGTCTGTAGACAGAATGTGACCATATCTGAATCCCCAAATCACCATGGGTATCATACAAAGCAAATTCAGCACGACTATGATATAAACATTTCTTCTCTCGCATATGTCTATCTTATTTGAAGCCATTGTCCAACATTTTCCCAGACATTAATCATCGCGTCTTCTTCTCCGGTGAGAATCTCGATCGCTATCTCGGTCACGTCCGTGCCGGCTAGACGTATGAGAGGATGAATTTCTCGAGCTGTACCGGTCATCATCCCGATACCTGCTGCTCCTGTCGCGACTCCTCTCTCTATCCCGATCCCGGTCTCGGTCTTTATCCCGCTCACGATCGCGGTCACGATCGCGCCGGTCTCTGTCTCGATCTCTATCACGATAGTAACGATCGTCTCTCCCGCTGCCGTCTTCATCGTCGTACTTCCGCTGCCTGGACTGTCGATCACTGGATGACAAACTTCTGTCTCTCCGTGAAGATCCTGTTCTCTGCATGCCGGATCGATCGCTGTCATCATCGTCGTAGTCTCGCCGGCGAGAATGCCTATCCCTGTCTCTGTCTCTGTCTCTGTGGCGTCCGCTCTTTTCAAGGTTGCGGTCTCGTCTTTCCCGCCAGTCGTCGTCTTTCTTTGCTTTAGCCTCCTTTTTCAAGGCTGTGAGCTCTTCCTCCGTGATGTATTCACCAGTCTTCTTATTCCGCATCAGAACGGGCATGTAGACTCCTTCCGTATTGCCTTCGCCTCCCTGGGCCTCCCCTGCTTTTCTAGCCCCTTTGCGCATTGCAGCCTTACCCCACGCACCAAGCTCAGCCTCC